GTTTTTGTAATGAAAGGCAGGATCTTTAGCTATACACAGACAGGAGTGAACACAGTCTATCCGGGCCTCTCAAACAACTCTGCCTGCGCATGTTGTATGAGGCTTTCACAATTCCCCATAAAACAATAAACACCCGCATTCTATGTGATTCCAAGAGGCTGCCATAGCTTCAACTGAGGAAACGACCAACTGTAAGAAAAAGCAGTGACCAGGATATGAAGTACTCTGGCCAATATTACATTTTAGGAGACCCTGAGTATACGGTATAATTTTGTCATTACATTTAACTAAACCAAACAAAATGTCATGTTATATATGTCCACAAGTGAAAGAACAGGAGAAGATGAAAACTTCATGAACTGTCAAATTTAGCAGAATCAAATTAATCCTGACAGACAATTGAGTAGTAAGCAACACCAAAGGCAGGTTATATGTAACTGCCAGTTTGTGTCAGTTATATTACCTAAATAGTACATTTCCACCCCTTAGTCAAATCTACACTCCACATAAAAACACACATTGCAAACAGGTCACTATTGCTGCAGGCCAATTACAATAATACGTAAAATTACTGTAAGTCCCCAATCGCAAAGACTGAAATCCTAAAAAGAAACTTACCAGTAATACTGAGGAAATGCAGGAGGTTTAGTGTCTAAGAAACTTTCCCAGCAAAGCCACTAGCCAGGAACGTCTCCCTGTACATCCCAGTAAAACTGAGTAAAGCTTCTCTCTGCTTTTCTCCAGCTCAGTCACATGTGTGGCAGCATGAGGCAGATGGGCGGCGAGAGACTACAGTCACTGCAGCCAACATTGAGCCAGGAGAGCCGAGAGGGGAGACTCCCATACAGAGCAGAGGGAGGGAGGGAGGGAGAGAGAGAGAGAGAGGGAGAGAGAGCGAGAGAGAGAGAGAGGGAGAGAGAGCGAGAGAGAGAGGGAGAGAGGGAGAGAGAGAGAGAGAGAGAGAGGGAGAGTCTCCATCGGGATAATTCCAGTGTCTGACATGGAACAGAATCAGAGACATTCTGAGCATACAGAACAAGAGCAGCAGCATCCCTCCTCCCAGACAATCTTCTTCTCCTGCTACCTGACCACCTTGTACAGCTGACACACACAGTTTGACTTCAATTAAGTCTTTTGAGCCACTGGCCAGGACCAGCTGTGCAGACACATGCCTCATTTCCTTACCACAAGACAAAATGACTGAAATCTGCTGCTGAGATGTTGAATATGCAGGAACAAAGGCATTAGGTGACATGAACTAGGTGACACGTTTGCTGTTTGGAAGAACACTGTTTACATGGCCTCAATCTGCATATCAATGTCATGGATGTCTGGCAATGTCATGGTTGCTTTGCTTAGTTGCTTGTTGCATCTCTTTCTCTTAAATTCATCATGAAGACTTTCAACCTCATTCTAAAAGCCAATATCCATGTGGCCACAATTACTGTAATCAATGTGCACTGTTATTTTAAAACTCTTTCGTGAGATACACCGGCTCATCTTGCTTGCCTGGGAACTGATCATTCACAAATCCCAGACTCACTACAGATAAACCCATTTTTTCAAATAGAAATAATATCAGTAAGATACTGCACACCATCTTCCCTTCATGCTCCTTCGTGTCCTGACTACAGCCCGTTTTCACTTAGAAATGATCAAGAAGACAAAAAATAAAGCCACACAAAGTCCATTACAGTGAAATAAAGCAAAACCAAAGTAAAGCATTGCTGTAAATACTCTCAAACAGCACTCCCACATTCTGGCATAACTACAGAGCTTCAAACATGAAAAACAAAACACACTCAAGCAGGTGTACCTTGTAGATGGGCACCAGAGAGCCAGGAAGTTTCTCAGAGACTATGCAACTCAAAGAGCTGGACATCTGTGCCTGTGTTCCTCTGGAGATGTTTTTGTTGAGAAGTGCCTACAAAGATCTTAGCAAAGGCGGCTAAAAACTGATTTGGCAGAGCTTCTCACTACATCCTCCTTCCCTTTACTGTTACACATCCACACATGCTGTGGTAGAGCTTGTATTCCAATTAGATGCAAAAAATGGTAGGAGATCAGGGAGGGTGAAGCACTTGCTCACTCAGTCTCCTCTGGAGACTCAAAGCAGCCTCAGTCCTGGAACTATTTCTGGAGCCAGCAGGACGATGAACTGAACTCCCAAAGGAAGACATGAACATGTTAAACTACAGGAAGACTCTCCCTTAGGCTATGCACAAATGCAGGTGAGAGAGAAAACAAACTATTTGGTTTTATTGTCTTACAAAGATTATTCCTTCAGGTGTTTGCATTAAGTTCATATGGCTACGAGTGTGTCCATCACGGGAGACCTCACTAAGATTTTTCACATGGACTTTGTATTTTTTAAACTGATCAATGCATCTCTTTCTGGGATGATACCTTTATCTCAGTTTAATTTGCAATCATATCCGAATGAAAGGGTTCTGCCCTCAATGCACTCTGGGTCTTCTACTCTATGGAAGGGGAACAATTTGCTTCCTCAAAAAGAAGAGGCAGGGAGAGCGATCTCCAAGACTGAGGAAACAAAGCGTAAGTACTCCAGAGAGTGAAGCACCCTGGACAAAAGTAATATGTTAACTTACATCAACCGCATTAATAACATTTCTTGGTCTTTTTTCTTATGTGCTACTCTCTAAATTATGAAATATATATGCATTGTTTTATGCTCCGAGAAATACATCTCTAGGGCGCCCTAAAACTGCATTTCACCAGTGCTGTTTCACCAACAGTTTCACACTAAAATTGCATAACGAGTGAATCAAGTCAGACAATGTACAAAAAAATTGTCCACTGCTGCTACATAAAAGCTCTTTATTTTGGTAATATGCATGGCCACATTTAGTAGAAGGTACTAAACATACTGTATATTACCCCCACCCACAGTGATTCTGGAGAAGACACTCCCAGTTGCACCCAAAAAGAAGGCAAGCTCCTGCATGTAAGAATATGAGGGGGTGGGGGTCTGCAAGAGCAGATGAGGCTGAGAGGGATTAGAACATTGTCTGATCTGCCAAGGAGCATGCTGTGTTAACGGGAAGAGCGCCTCAGTCCTGGGAAGGCTGGCCTACGGACACACTGATGGCGCAGTACCCGAACGACAGCTGGAAATATTACAGCACAGGCTTCAAGTTAAACGCTTTAAAAAAAATTATTAGATTCCCCTTAACATCATACACCGGAAAAAAGTCAGCACCTGTTCATCCTATTGTATGTTGTACAAAACTACTGTTGACTAGGCCGAATCTGCAATATATTAACATGATAGAATTTAGCAGGAGATATATGCTCTGAGCTGGTGTCCCATCCGGGGTTTACCCCAGCCTCGGGCCTTTAGCTCCCCTGGTGACCCCAAGCAGGGTGAGCTCTTGGAAGATGGATGGTTGGATAGATGCGCTAAGGCAGACGTTTATTTTGCTCTCCATAAGAGTGAGGCAGGATTCTGTGAAGCTAAGCAGAAACTCGCTACAGATAAGATAAGACTGCGTTCTCTGGCCCAACCGAGGAGAGCAAGAGCCGGGCAAAAGGCATATTCTACACTGCTTTTTTAGTGATGTTTCAGGCATCACAGATGAAGCAGAGAGAGATAGGTTACCATCACTGTGAAACAAGTTTTACAACTTCAAATAATATTAAACAGCTATTTTCTGCCAACAAATTGAAAGACAAGCAAAGTATCTGAACCACCAAAGAAGATCCAGGCACTGAATTGGTCCATCCAATTTTTGTAACCACTTATCCTATTCAGGTTCACAAAGGGTCTGGAGGCTATAGGTACAAGGCAAGGAAAAACCCAGGATGGGGCATCAACCCACAACAGGGCACATTCACACATGCAATTCGGTAACTCCAATTAACATGAGCATGTCTTTAACTATGGGGGGAAACTGGAGTACCTGGAGGAAACTCCACAAAGATACAGGGAGAACATGCAAACTCCACTCACATAGAACCCTGGTTCCTGAAGCATGAGGCAACAGTACTAACCACTGCACCACCGTGCCACCCACCAGAATAGGTTAATATGGATACTAATCAATTCAACAGCAGTTTTTATACTAATAAACTTCAGCTCCTTCAGGAGCAGGATTAATGATTTGCGTAAGAGGGGGAAATTGGCCTGATGGGTACAGCAGAAGTCCTTTAGAGTCCCCACAGCCCAAACAGCATGGGGCACATTTGCATTATGTAGAACAGCAGCAGTGGGCATTTGACTCAACCCGCAAAGCAGACCACACATTGTTGTGTGCATTATGTAAACACCCCTTATTGTCAAAATAATCAGAATACTGTCACTACAAATGACTGTATCACACCTGTAAATCAAATCAAATCAAATCACTTTTATTGTCACATCACTAGAATTAGTGAATTAGTAAGTGAATCTTTGGTCATATGCTTCCTATCAGCAGTGCAGTACATTAAATAAATGTAAAGCAACATGAGAAACGATAACTGCACTGTAACCATTCCACAGCTGCTTTATTACAGTGCACTGCCAGTGATGTATGCATCAAGCGTACCACAGCTCCAAATAAAATCGGCCTGGGAACAAGATAGGAGTAAGTGACCCCATATTCACTGTCCTATAGGAAACATGACTACATTAACGTACATGAACGGCCAAAGGGAAATGGCTGTCAATGTGCGTGATACACAGCGCGCTGCCGTCAGCCCGCCACACCTGAGTGCAGCCCGAGTCGTTCAACGTTAAAACACTCTTCTGTATAACAAACACACTAGGGCTGGCCAGGAAAAAAAAAAGATCTTAAATATATTCCAAGTGTCTGACTCCTAGGTGGATTACGTGGGCATCTGGTAGTGCTGTTCATCAAAATAAACTGCTCAGCAGCTCATAAAACTCTCCGTTTCCAGAAATGAGAGCAGCTGTGCGTCAGGGGCCATGTGTCACCCCATCAAGGACGTCTCCCTGAAGCTGAGGTGACCAGCTCCTGCTCTCCACTTCACCGCCGCACTTTCAGCAGAGAGTACGGCAGGATACCTTCCTCCAAGAATCTGTCCTGTGTAGCAGTTAATATGTTAAATAATAATGTACACTACATGACACTCAAACATAAACTTCAAAAGCAACAACTAATTTAAATTATGCAATTTCTATTCAAACACAGTTATGCTCATAATCCTGATGAATTAATTATTTACCTAAGACATTTTCAGAACACGCCTGGCATATGGCATATGAAGTACAGTCAACACACATGTAATCAGACAGAAAATAATGACAGCAAGAAAAAAACTGGGCTTTTATTTGGCTTTCCATAAGAGTACTTTGCCAATATGTCTGCCGTGATCTGGTTCTGGGAAACACTTCAGCCTCAATCTGAGGGAATCGCTTTGTTGTTTGAGTTGCCACCTGAGGCACATGGCAAGCTTTTCTCTCACGTGTCCGCACAGATTTTCACAGCTGTTTGGCAGCGCGTAACAGTAATCAGATTTCAAAGAAAGTGCTGAGTTCAAATCAGAAATGGCCCCGTTGCCCCCAAATGACAGAGCAACTTTGAAGCAGTGTGACCAGCGAGAGGCAAACAAAATGAACACACGCTGCAGGCTTCTCCCAGGAGCCCTGGCATTTGAGCAAGACAGTCTGTTCACACAGAGAGGGGGAAACTGTGGTATCCTCCATCCCCCCCATTCTACCAAAGTCTGTGGTAGGGAGTCAAGTATGCAATACAGTCCCAGCCTTTTCCTTCATCTTTGGGTTAATCATATGTCACCTTTTCATCCTCACATCCCAGAGACATTCCCAGGATGGACAGTGGCTTTAAGGGACTTACAGTAATTATAAGGATTTAATGTAAGTATATACACTGGAGTCGGTCCTTCATATGAAAAGCATAAAGGAACACTATGCCTATCCAGGTGGTGGCATAAATTTGTAAACAAATGGCATTAATAACCATGCTATCCCTTTGAACTTAAATGCTAATAGATTCGGTCATGTGATTCCCGCGTCGTTCTGTGCAGCAGCTATAATTGGAAAGTGGTTTAGCAGTTCAATGCTTCATCCCCTCCCCTCCCCGCAGGCTTTTCCTGTTCTATTACCACCTGTGTTGACGTATTATTACTTTATGACAGATGTATCTAAAGCTGACAAGCGTATCCCTGGTAAAGTGGTCCCTGCTTAGCTTTAGAAACGTATCTGTGCACAACATCACCGCTTCTCTCAGCATTCAGGAACTAGACAGAAAATAAAACAAAGGCAGGGAGAAAAACTGCGCAATCGGATGTTCCAGCAAAGAATACAAGAGCAAATACATCCCTAATTGCTTGTATTAATGGAAAACAAGTCCACATAATCAAAAGAAGGCCTATGGAGAGTAGTTCAGCATGGTGTTAACACCTTCAGGAACTGGCCACCAGCACTATAGAATCAGATCAGAGCAAACTTCACCCTACTTCCTTCCTGCATCAGAGAACAAGAGAGAATGCTGGTGCATGAAGCCCTGTTGGTATATATATGATCATAAGAATGTGGACACCAGCTAGTCCAACATCTCATTCCAAAATCAAGTGTATTTATATGAAGCTGGTCTGACCTTTGTTGCTATTATAGCTTCTACTCTTCTGAGAAGGCTTTCTGTTAGATGCTGGAACATTGCTGGTGGGATTTGCTGCCATTCAGGTTGGGTGTTGATGTTGAGTGACCAGGACCCTTTCTGTGAGCTTATGTGGCATAACGCTTCACAACTAAACTTACTCCTAGAGGTTTCCACTCACAATCACTTCATTTGCAGTTACTCGGGGCACATTTAGGAGGCCAGAAATTTCATAGTGCCAGGCTGAATGTCACTAAGTTCTTCTGTACATCTATCCATTCTGCTGCCAGTGTTTGTGCTAGAGTTTAGAGGCCTTAGTGCTTTTTCTTGTGCTTTTTTGTGTCAGCAGTGGGTGCAGTTTACATAATTAAAAAGGGTGTCTACATACTCTTAGCTATTTAGCATATTTTTTGTGAAACCACATGGTACAACTTTGGTAAACGAGTGTCAAAGAAAAACATCGATATTTCACATTACTTCATGACAGGTTAGAGCTGTGCGACATCAGATTGCGATTCCCTCTGGTGATAAGGCATATGTGTTATAATCACCAGAGCTTTACATGACGGCCAAAACATCTGTCTGGACACTAGCTTATTCATTCAGCTTACTAAATTGTAAACTTACGTACATTAGTGAAAAGCTGGCAATTGGATAAATGTTTCGCCTGTCATCTACAGCCTTAAGGATGCATACGCCATATACTCGGTAGGAAATTGCGATCTGGTATCATGCAGCCCTTGACAGGTGACGCGTGCAAGGCCCTTCCAGATGTGTCCGGGTGCCTACCTGCCCAGCGAGGCTGGGCCTCTCCCGCAGCTGCCTCTGCTTGTCCATGCTGTCCTGCAGGCACTCATACACTCGCCTCTTCTGATCCACAGAGTATGTTTCCAGACTGACCAGGTGCTCGCTCCTCTTCATGCACCAAGTAAAAGGAACAGAGAGGAATGGAGGGAAAAAAGGAGGGAAATGGTTGCTGTTACTCTTTGTTCATAAAAAGTTTTATCCCAGCTTTACATCATTTAAATAATCACAGAAGAGGAAAAAAGCCCATTGGATTCTCATATCCTGACATTTGTCTCTAATATACATACAGATGTAACAGCTTCATTTATGATATACTGCAGTCAATAGGGAAGTCATTAACATAATTAGATGTCAATAAAAGGCAATAATATAAGTTACCAGAGTCTTAGGTGACCACAGTAGATGAAAAGAAAAGCACATACATATAGGTATCTGAAACCATGTAAAGCATATTCAGTTTCTCTGTTTGTTTTCATAAATCCATATAGGTCTTGCAGTTGCCCTGTGTAAATAAATACTACTACCTTGCCAAACTGTGAACCCTGCTCTAAGGCCAAGCGAAGAAGCGTGTCTGGTAGCAGAACTACATATGACCCATTTCCCAGTACAAGGCTTCTCAGGTTCTATTAGGAAACACGCATGTAAATCAAGTCCCTTCTTGTCATTCGACAGGACTGACGCTTCTTCCCTTTTCCAAAAACTGACAGGGTAGAGTCTGCAGTAAATTATGCACATACAGCTGAATTACACAGGTGGCCTTGTACCTGTCACTTCTGCGATAGCTGTGTATTCCCTTTATCGGGAATTTCTTTTTGTTGATGACGGGTACAACATAAAACACTGTTTATCCTCTGCAATCCACAGTAAGGAGTCTTTCCCAACAGGTAAGATTCACCTCAAACTGCTGCCAGGCTGCTAATATTTAAGTATTTAATATTTAAGGTTTAGGTACGACGTTTTAAAAAACCACACGTATGAAATCATTGTTCTGCACATTTCTCTTGCTGTAACTATAGACTTAAAAGATTTAAGTATATATTTAAAAAAAAAAACAACTTTAAAAACCCCCCTTCGATTTTTTTTCCCCAAAAACTCAAAAAAGCGACGTCTCATTTGAAAGTTTTCATGGCTGCATTCCGTACTATGAAATTTAAAATATTGGTGAATATGCAGCAATTGTTGTAACAGAATAATTTTGGTTGCCGCCCATTCAGAACACAAAAGCTACCAAAACTTGTTCAGGCTTCCGCCCCCCTGTTAGTCTTCGGTTGGCGTGGACAGAAATTTCGGTAAATATTCAAAATTTCCAAAATAAATATACTAAGAATCATATGTTAACATCTTTTTATATCAGTTGTTTATTCTGATTTGCTCGGAGATCCAGCTAAAAGCTATAGACTTTTCTTCACAGCAGAAACCATCCTGCAGCTGTTTAGCTAGAGCCATAAGACAGCGGAACTCCAAGCCAGCTGTCCCTCCCATCTCACTCTCTGTGGCTCCTAAGAGGAATGTTACAGGTTCACTCACAGGTAACTTGTGTAGTAGTGCACGGAACATCCTTCAAAGGCAGTTTAATTACATACTCGCCTGAGGTTAGTGGTGTCCAGAACAACTCTGAAACAGACCAAAGCCAACTGAGCAAATTAATTCAGTGAAAAAGTAAAAATATACCATTGTGAAGACCAGTGGCAGACTGCCTCCAAAAGACAGGACAAGGTATCGTAAGGATCCTGAAATTAACACTTTACTTAAGGGGACAGAAATAAAATAGTAATAACATAGTATTAACCACAGTCTAAGCCTTAGTTACATACTGATCTCATGTTTGTTCATCATATATATATATATATTACAATTTAGTAAGCTGAATGAATAAGCTAGTGTCCAGACAGATGTTTTGGCCGTCATATATATTATATGTATATATATATATATATGTTCATTCTGTAAACCACTGTGAACTACTGAAGGAACACAAGTAAAATACTAATCTCATGTTTGTTCATCATTAATGACTTATGAAGCATTTTTTAAAATCTCAAGTAGCTACTATATTTACTCATAATTGTATTTCAGTAGTAACTGAGTTACTACTATGTGTATCCCCTCAAGTAAAGTGTTAACCTGAAATTCATTCAGCCAGATCAGATCTTTCCTAAGTGTAAACTGTCTGACAGAATGAGAAAAAGGAAAGTCAAACAAGCAGCTCTGAAAACGATTTCCAGGTAGACTGTTCAACACCATTTCCTGCAAAGGTTTGTTATATTACCGGTAATTGTGTTTTATGAATACTTTGGCATGTCTGCTTTAGTAAGCTTGAATATTATTGTCCACATTCAGCATGCACAATACACAGGGCGGCCAGTAAATAACTGGAGGCTGACTAAGGTTAATAAAACATAGCTGACTACGTGAAAGGACTAACATTATGATAACGTTCACAACATATCGTACTTAGGACATCTAGGCATCTAAAAATGTCAGAGTTACAATCACGATTTAATGGTTTAGCAAATTCTGGCACAATATCAGCAGTAACTGGTACCTTTAGCCACTAACCATGTGAAGCTTCATGCGCTTCTTCTCTATTTCCAGTTTTCCTGTCACATAAATACCCCGCACTACGCCCCTACTTATTGGTTAAACTATTTAAGTTGTGTTTACTATGTTAAACAAAACACTTTGTCTCATGAACTTTACCTTTCCTTCAATGGAAAAAAAAGAATCAGTATTACAGGTACCAATGCTACATTCAGATGCTTGTGAAAGCTAGATGGCTCCTTAAAAACAAAACATATTCCCTAAGTCAAAAAGAGGGAACTCCTCCCTCGGTACACTGATTACACACACACACACACACACACACACACACACACATGTCGGGTAAACATATCTTTATGGGAACCGCTCATTCATTTCTATGGGAAAAATGCTAATGCTAACTATGACAACCTTAACCCCTACCCAGCCCTAACCATAACTATAAGTAACCAAGCAAAATACAAGAGTTTTTGCATTTTTAGTATTTTCATTGCAGTCACAGATCTTTATTAACTTGAGTTTTCCCTTATGGGTATTCATCACATTGTGTGTCCCCACAAGGTAAGGTATACCCGCTCACACACACACACACAAACACCATCTGAGTACCTTTATTAGCAAAATTCATCAATGTAACTTCTGCAAAGAGACATAACAGCGGAGAAAATTTAAGGCATTCTTTTCATAAGGGACATTAAATACTGCTCTGTTTCAAGGGTTGAAACAGTTAACTAGTGCATTTAAAGTTAAGGGACAGCCTACAATTAGACTATGCCATCACCACACAACCAGTTAATAGGATGTCAGACGTGCACTGTTACATACGGTTTCCATGCTATAAAGGAAAGTTGTTTCATTTGGCTTATATTTTCATTTATAGTTTATGTGTATATGTATGTATGTATGTCCTGATCAGTCTAATAGGTGTTCACAAAGAGCATACACACATCACAAAGACATTACTGATGCATTGATGATTCCTATGGATTTCTCATTAAGAATTTTTCCATCTTGTGGATTGCATGTTTTTCCTTTCTTTTATAAGACATTCAGGCCAATGAGGAAAAAGGCTGACTGAGACACAATACACAAGTCTTTACCAAAGGCCTTCATATCACAGCCATTGGTATTCATACATAAATATAGGAGCAGAGGAACCAAAAAGACTCATATAAAGCAGCTTTTGGTTGTTGTCCTTTGTGTCATCACTGACTATATTGTTAGTTGAGCCCCAATAAAGCTTAAAATAACCAAAAGGGTTCTTCTTCCAGTTTAAGGGCCAGTCGATCTTGAATGTGTCCAAACCTATACTCTCAGTGTTCCTCACCCTGAAAGGTTCAATAAAAATAAATATTGACGGTCACACTAGTGTGGAAAAAAATTTGCCTCTCATTCAGGTCTCTTCTAGCCGCTTGATGCAACAAGCAGAAGATTCACAAGCCATTTTCGCTCAGAGTTGATTTAAATAAACTTTAACCCATGAATCCATTTTGTTAAACCAATCTGGTGTGGCATGGGCGGGGTTGACCTCTGACTTTCACTAACCAATCCGGTGTGGCATGGGCGGGGGTGACCTCTGACTTTCACTAACCAATCCGGTGTGGCATGGGCGGGGTTGACCTCTGACTTTCACAGTAGTGCAATGGAGGATATTTTATAACAAGAAGGCTATTTTTTATAATAAAAACTATGGTAGAACGCATCTGTGCTGTTACGACAAGAAATTACAGATGTATTTAACCCTTTGTACTGCTAATGTGTACTTCAGTACCAGTTATGTCAATCCCCGTTTGTAACACATTGCTAGCTAACATGCTTCTCATATACCTTACCATACAGTATTTTCAGAAGCAATTATGCATAGGTGTTATTTACAGTAAATGACCATGTTCGGGGAGACTAGGGCAGGTGCTTGAGGATTTTTTTTTGGGGGGGGGGGTTTGCAACAGGACATGATGCACTGCTGGGAGGGATATTACTGCATATGAAGAAGCAGGAAAACAACAACTCATAAATATGACACCACATTACAAAAAACAGGGAAGTTTTACTGCCTGAAAGGGAGACATCATAAGAGCAAGCAGATGGCTCACTCTTTATTTTGGGATCCCCAACCAACAGCAAAAACAAACACAAAAAATCACACCAAAACGAATCTGGAATAAGAAAATGTACTTCAAACATAATGGTAGAATCAAAATGAAAATGATACCGAGGAACTTCATCCATGACAAATGTATTTGTTTAACAAGGCACATCAAATTGAATCCCTAATTTAATTCAGTGCATTCCACTTTGCAACCAGCAGGCAGTTAATTGGTCTTCTAAATGCATATAACATGAGGAACAGCTTTAGCAGCTGAACTCTGCCATAGGGCAGAGCCTTTTCCAGCTCCAGCCCAGGCCACAGGTCCCTGTCGTCTCTAATTAAAGTCACTCACCTACACACAGCACTTAACATTTACTTAAACCACAGTTTAGCAATATGGGGAAAGCAAGAGAACGATGGCTACTTTTTATATGCCTAGATTACACAAACACACATCAACTGAACTAAAACATTTGCT